CGCGTCACAGGGCTGGAGGCGGCAGCGGCGTACGTCCGAGCCTCTGGCGCCGACGGGGCAGGAGCAGCAGCAGGGGCCGGTCCCGGCACGGAGCGCCCCGCCCGGACCCGAAGATCGTGTTCGCGCTGTTGGTCAGCGTGAACCTGTTCCGCGACCAAGGCATCCTCGTGGCGGCGATCCTCGACGAGCTGGGCTGCCAGCAGGGCCTCTTCGCGTTCTTGCGCTTGCTTATGCTGGGCGTACTCGAGGATGGCGTCGGCGTTGGTGGCCCGACGCGCACGGTACATTGCGATTTGTGCGTGTCGTGCCGCGGTTGCCTTGGTGAACTCGGCGTCAAGCCGAGCGTTGCGGTCCCGAAGAACCGCTTCGCGATCGTGGTCGACCGCCTCTCCCGCTTCCTGTCGAACCCGCGGGGACAGGGCCAACAGCCGCTGGTCGTCGGTCATGCAGTCCCACAGGGTTAAACAAACCCAACGAGGGCGCTGCGGGGGCGCCGACGAGGTCGGGGGTGCCGCCGAAGCGGGGAGTGCTGCCGAAACAGCGGGGGCCGACGAAACAGCGGGGGCTGCCGAAACAGCGGGGGCCGCCGAAGCAGGGGGGGCCGCCGAAGCGGGGGGGGCTGCCGAAGCAGGGGGGGCTGCCGAAGCAGCGGGGGGCGCCGAAGCGGGGGGGGCTGCCGAAGAGGGGGAGCAGCTGCCGAAGCAGCGGGGGCCGTCGAAGCCGTGGGAAGCGGGATCAGGGGGACCGGCGACGCCGGGCGGGCGGTAGTCGAAGACCTCTCGCCGGCGCCCGGGGTCGTTGCCCGGATCGTAGAGGCGGAGACGGCTCCACCAGCGAGGGAGGTCGTCTCAGGGTTGGCCACAAGCTGGGTGGCGACCATGGTAGATTGACCGTGAAGATCGGGGAGACGACGGTGGTCGTTTTCTGCCATTTTAAGAAGGGGTAAGGCAGGGGAAGTGGCGGCATGTTCGTGTGAGGGAAAGAGCATGGGGGGGGGTGATGGCACCGCATTATGCAAAATAACAGGTGCATCGGCAGAGGGTTCTGCAGGAGTAACCAAAGTTACTGCTAAAGGAGCCGAGGTCGCAACTAGCGTATGAACAGCAGTAGACACAGCAGACATAGAGTCGGCTGAGGATATACGCGCAGCAGTGAGGAATGCAGTCCGAGACGAAACTACTGGCACGGTAACTGCTGGATTAATGATGGTCGAAAGTGTACGCCGGACGCCCATAGAGCGAACGCGTGGAATGGCCATCATTAGGGGCAAAGGCGGAGCTGCAAGGATAGATGCAGCAGAGGCAGTCGAAACTGCAGGCATCGATGGAGCTACTGAAGCCAATGCATTTGAAACAGTCGAAACTGGGGCTGGCAGCGGGGAAGCTATGGGGAAAAAGGTAGCGGAAGCGGGAGATGCTTCAGACTCCTGGAGAGCTACTGCAGCAGATGGTGGGGCAGCAGCCGAAATTGAAGTTGAAGTGGTCGGAACTATAGAAATAGGTGCATCTCAATCAAGGGAAGCAGCCACGGCAGTCGAAACTACAGGAGCAGATGCAACGGGTGCGGTCGAAACCACCGGTTGCATTGGAAGCGATCGGAACCGCAAAGGCAGTTGAAACCACCGGAACAGATGCACGTGGGGCAATCAAATCCAAAGGCACAGGTGCCACTGAAACGGATGCACGACGGTCAAAAAGCCGTTGGGCACGAGCGGCGGCTTGTGAGCGACTGCTACGCGACGAAATAGGAAGAATGGCCGGCACAGTGTAATCGAAATGCAGTGTGCTGCCAACAACAGATCCATGAGGCAAGCGTGGCACTACAGAGCCAGTATGGTCAAAGCCAATGTCTGCCCGAACAGCAGAAGGCTCAGCGGCGGTGGAGGTGAGGGGAAAAGTGGAATCAGCAACATGTGGTTCCGGCGGGAAAACTTGGGGCACACCACCAGCGGCTGTAAAAACAGAAGGCTGGGTACTCGAAAGGACAGGGGTGGAAGCCGAAGCTTCTGTTGTGGGTGCTGGCAATTTGAGTAGCACAGCACCCACGGGATTAGCGTCAGTAGAAGCCGTGCAGGCGAACTCCTCCCGTCGGCGTTGAGCGCGAAGCTCTGACAGACGGGTGGCTTCTACGATGGGGTCAGCAGCACTCGCGCCATCCGAAGACGGCAACAGCGATGATTGGGAATTGTCGGCTGTCGGCCCGAAAGCCGAGGTACTGTGTGGAGACACCAGTGAGCGAGAACACCCTGAGGGCTCTGGACTGGCCGAAGCCGAGTCCGAGGAACCGACGCTAAGTTGAGACATACCGATCAGCTAGGCAAAGCTAAGTTGTGTGGAGACGAAAGCGGAGAAAGCTGCGTGCAGCAGGTTCGAGTCGCCCAAACACAAACCCCAGTAAGCACGCTGTACGTATATGCCGACAACGCCAAGTGTAAGTTCTGCAAACGACGCCAAGTGTAAAGATATGCACGCGCGGTGCAATCTGGGAGACCCGTGAAGACGAACTCACCTGTTATTAACTCGTGAGGAACAGCAGTAGCTGTTGCCAAGGGAAGGTACAGGACTGACTAGGATGGGGCCAGGATCAGCTGCTAAAGCAGGGGCTACTAGATCCTGTCCCTTGTTTTGTCCTTCCGTGGGGAGTTGCATCTCCCGCACTTTTCTCTGGGCATTAGCCCGCACTACCGTTTGTACTTTCCTACACATTCAAATCCCATAACACGAGGCCGTACGCGGTTGGCTTATGGTCTGTGCGAGAGGGTTCCGACTTGCTAGGGCCAGGATCGTCCTTAAAAAGGTCGGGGTCCGCCATGTAAGGTGGTCGTCCTTGGACTTCTCAGGGTACCATACCATGCAAGGGAGTATCCAGCCACTCCCTAACGTCACATTATTAAAGGGTGGTATCGCCGAACAGAATTTACACACACCGCCACACCACGTTCTGTATAGGCGTACACGTCTGACGGCACGTCAAAAACGAGACGCTGTGGGTGGCGCTGGTGGACAAGCTTAAACTACCACCGACCCCCGAGGGGCTGCCGGCGGGAGCGATGCTTGCTTTTATATACCACTATAATTGTTACCGCGCGCAAAAATGATTGAACTTTTCACACGGGCCACGTCGACATCGAGAGAAAAAACGTCACAATAACCTATAACGTCCTTCTCCTCTCTATATATATCTATGGTGAGGAGATGGGGGCACGCGGCCGTGTATCTCATGACGAACAAATATATGCCCCGCCGGCTACATGTGTACATGGGCCAAACCAAAACACCGTTTTCGATACGTACAAAGTACACACCGGGCATGCGGTGGGGTCAAATGTGAGCACCCCTCAAACGCGAAGTGTTGACACGAATGGCCCGACAGCAAGAAGAATTATGTACCTGTTTTGTGAGAAAAAAATCGGGAAAATGCCCTCGCGCATAACATGCTCTTCCAAGAGAGCTACATACATAAAGTGAGACAGCAGGGTACATTCATCAGGTTCANGAACACCCTGAGGGCTCTGGACTGGCCGAAGCCGAGTCCGAGGAACCGACGCTAAGTTGAGACATACCGATCAGCTAGGCAAAGCTAAGTTGTGTGGAGACGAAAGCGGAGAAAGCTGCGTGCAGCAGGTTCGAGTCGCCCAAACACAAACCCCAGTAAGCACGCTGTACGTATATGCCGACAACGCCAAGTGTAAGTTCTGCAAACGACGCCAAGTGTAAAGATATGCACGCGCGGTGCAATCTGGGAGACCCGTGAAGACGAACTCACCTGTTATTAACTCGTGAGGAACAGCAGTAGCTGTTGCCAAGGGAAGGTACAGGACTGACTAGGATGGGGCCAGGATCAGCTGCTAAAGCAGGGGCTACTAGATCCTGTCCCTTGTTTTGTCCTTCCGTGGGGAGTTGCATCTCCCGCACTTTTCTCTGGGCATTAGCCCGCACTACCGTTTGTACTTTCCTACACATTCAAATCCCATAACACGAGGCCGTACGCGGTTGGCTTATGGTCTGTGCGAGAGGGTTCCGACTTGCTAGGGCCAGGATCGTCCTTAAAAAGGTCGGGGTCCGCCATGTAAGGTGGTCGTCCTTGGACTTCTCAGGGTACCATACCATGCAAGGGAGTATCCAGCCACTCCCTAACGTCACATTATTAAAGGGTGGTATCGCCGAACAGAATTTACACACACCGCCACACCACGTTCTGTATAGGCGTACACGTCTGACGGCACGTCAAAAACGAGACGCTGTGGGTGGCGCTGGTGGACAAGCTTAAACTACCACCGACCCCCGAGGGGCTGCCGGCGGGAGCGATGCTTGCTTTTATATACCACTATAATTGTTACCGCGCGCAAAAATGATTGAACTTTTCACACGGGCCACGTCGACATCGAGAGAAAAAACGTCACAATAACCTATAACGTCCTTCTCCTCTCTATATATATCTATGGTGAGGAGATGGGGGCACGCGGCCGTGTATCTCATGACGAACAAATATATGCCCCGCCGGCTACATGTGTACATGGGCCAAACCAAAACACCGTTTTCGATACGTACAAAGTACACACCGGGCATGCGGTGGGGTCAAATGTGAGCACCCCTCAAACGCGAAGTGTTGACACGAATGGCCCGACAGCAAGAAGAATTATGTACCTGTTTTGTGAGAAAAAAATCGGGAAAATGCCCTCGCGCATAACATGCTCTTCCAAGAGAGCTACATACATAAAGTGAGACAGCAGGGTACATTCATCAGGTTCAGCAAAAAAAAAGAACGGCACTCGGCCGCTCACCCAAAACCAGTTGATCCGTGCTACCCCATGTAGGCCGGCGAAAGGATTTCAGAAACAACCACGCAGTCCCGCCGAACCCTCTCCCCCTCTCCCTCGAGCGCCCGCACACATCCCACACGCTGCACGCCGGCGCCCCATCGCTCCATCAACTCCATCCATCCCAAATGCTCAAGAAAACTCCACTTCCTCTCCGCGTGTGTCCGCGTGTATCCGGCGCATGCACATGACTACAGCTCTTTCCAATTCGCCGCAACAATTTAATATTTCGTCTACCCCAACAACCTCATCGAATATGTAGATCTCCAGTGGCAAAGCGCACACTCTCTCCGCAGGGTTACCGCTGTACCTGCTGTCGGAACGTCGAGCGCAGGGGGGTGTTACTGTAGGTCTCTCATCATTTTAGGGCAGGGAAAGTTGGGAACTTATTTGGGCTCTGCGAACACAACCGTACGGCCTAAATGTTTATAAAACTTTAGGTTCAACGTCAAGCATTTATCTGTATGTACCTGGGATAGAGTTCTAGACGAAAGACTCTCGGTTGATGCTGTGGTGGTATTCATTCAAGAGAAAGCGGTCGCACGGCCCGTCCCCGGCGACGCCAGCCTGAACTTGTGTCGCCACACTTGGCGTCCGCTGCGACCACATCGTTCAGGTCCATACATCCATTCACGATCGGCAGGCGGATGCTCGGGCCCTGGACAGCGATGGTACATGTGCACATGCCGCCTGATTTCGGCTGAAGGGAACACCACCGGGCGCCGTCTACCTCGCAGGACCAAGACCGGGTGCAATGTGACAGGGTCGGGACTACGTTGGTTCCCAACACCGTCGGAGACGTAGTCGAACGCCAGCACCCACGATGTCAACGGGTGGTCGTGGGATCCTTGGCGCGTGTTCCCTCTGTGCTCCAACAAGTAGAGGATGCGCGCCAACGAAAGGCCCGACGCCTGAGCGGGTCCATCATGTACATCGTCGTCGAAGGGCTGCTCCTTGAAGAATTCCACGTCCTCTCCACATCCCTCGCCCAGCCACCAATCCCCACCGGGTGCCGTTCGAGTCGACGCTCTGACATCGTCCCCTTTCCACCGGCCAAGGCCGCTACCTGCCCGGAGAGGAGCGCCGTGCTTGAACCGCGTGCAAATGATGTCCTTGTCGTCGAGCGTGGACGAGTTCAGCCAGCAGTCGGCACAGCGCGGTTCTTCGCATAACGCACCCCCATCCGCACGACCGCAGCTGAAGTATGTGTTGTACGCCCCGATCAACGTCTTTTCATCGGGACGAAGAGGGCCCGTGGCAATGCGGGACTCCCACCCGCCTCCGCTGGCGTCGTTGCCCCAAGGCGACCCAGCCTCCCACAGCACGCTTGTCCAGGTTGCGGCGCCGGGGAACTGAGCAGCACGTTGAGCAGCCGTTGGGGTACTAGCGGCGCGAGCGTCCGTCGGGGTGGAAGACAACCCCCCCGGCAAAACATTACCCAACGACCACAGCACCGCAGAGCAGCCGGAGCCAGCCTTGACGGTCTCCACTACATACTTCATCAACCCGCGGTCGAATCTGGTGACCTCCCACGGAATTTCTTCAGCAAGAGCATCGATGGCGAGGCCCATGTTGAACCGGCGCGCGTAGTGCGCCGCGGCGTTGCGGCCGCTGTTANTGGAAGACAACCCCCCCGGCAAAACATTACCCAACGACCACAGCACCGCAGAGCAGCCGGAGCCAGCCTTGACGGTCTCCACTACATACTTCATCAACCCGCGGTCGAATCTGGTGACCTCCCACGGAATTTCTTCAGCAAGAGCATCGATGGCGAGGCCCATGTTGAACCGGCGCGCGTAGTGCGCCGCGGCGTTGCGGCCGCTGTTAGAATGGTTGACCTTCTTGTTCCTTTGGTGCGCAGGTTCGCCCGTGCTGGCATCAGCCATGTGGCCTGCCAACGCGTATATGTACGGATACAACAAAACATATCCTCACCGCATCACATAGGAGAAACGCAATACGGGGGGGGGATCGGCGTTCCACACGGATCGGCGATCAAATAACATTGCACGTACAATAAAATAGAATAAGGCGGGTCGTTTTACTCGGACAGTCTCAAGGACCTGAGATAAACTTCTTCATAAATTCTCTCAACTCACCATGGTCTTCAATGGCCTGGACGTAGTGCAGAGTAGCGTGCACGGTTGTCCTCACGTCTCCCCTCCCTAGCAATTCCGCATACACCCCCACCTGCACCACAACACCCCCCACCAAAAAAAAGGAAAGGCCATTTTGCAATGAAAACTGATGCGCACTTGAATGACATGATGAGAAATGTGCTTGTTGCTGGCGCGAGGACAATGTACCAGCAGAAACTTTGGGTTTATATTTTATTTGTCGTACACCCGGACCTGGGAGGACGATNTAGCGTGCACGGTTGTCCTCACGTCTCCCCTCCCTAGCAATTCCGCATACACCCCCACCTGCACCACAACACCCCCCACCAAAAAAAAGGAAAGGCCATTTTGCAATGAAAACTGATGCGCACTTGAATGACATGATGAGAAATGTGCTTGTTGCTGGCGCGAGGACAATGTACCAGCAGAAACTTTGGGTTTATATTTTATTTGTCGTACACCCGGACCTGGGAGGACGATACTGAAAACATATTTTTGTGATCTACCGTCGCCCCTCGTTTAGTCCATGGGAGGGGGGGGGGGGNAAAGTTCCACCAAAGCATAGGGTCTTGAACAACAAGCGGTAACAATTCAACGAGATTTTATTCGGGGCGGAGGTGTGAGATTTCTATGCGAAAAAGGAACCATTAAATTCAATCGGAATTCCGAAGTGTCAAGCCTAGGCATTCTCTGGTAAAGTTGCGCCAACACGGCCTGCTCTCCTCCCCATGTGTCTTTCAAGGCTTGTAGCTCTCGCGGCTTCACGTACTCTTTCTGCGCAAGATGGACGCGAAAAGGTGCACAAAAAAAAAGGTGTTTGGATCTCGGTCGTTGTCCACATAATCTCCGCAACCCTACGGTAGCTCATCATAACGCACCCATCGATATTATCGTATATTTGCAGGGGGCCGCGGGCATAACATTTTGATCGTTTACGGTAAGCAGTATTTTCACGAGAACCATGGCATATCGCATGAACCCGCAAAACAACCCGCGCCCTCACGTGTAGGCAATAGACAACAATAGCACCAGTGCTGTCGCGTCATGGAGGACACAGCGGGACACAAGAACCAGGATTGATCCCAATAGCCATTTATCACTACACTTCAGGGAGGAATAGTTGGTGCATATGTCTTTCAATGGTGTTGTAGCTGGTAGGTACAGCGTGCTGCCTTGCCGTACGATGGAGGAGATCACTCCCCGGCCAGCTTCGTTCAGGAGGGCCAGAAAAATAAACTGCACCAACGCCTGCGCCCCCTGCGGTAAACAGTGTACAGGTCGAGCACAAAAAGGCGGGGGCGCAGTGGGGAAATCAACATGATATGCATTCATACCATACTGCAATCTCGTTGTTTTTTCAAGGGGTGCTTGCACGGTGGCATAATCAGATGAGGTTTCCCACGAAACACATCATTCAGGCCGCTGACACAAAACACATTACATGTGCCCACATCTATGCGTCAAACTTACATGTTCCAACAACGCTGTCTACTTTTGGACGCGAGGATATCCACTTCAGGCGTGCACCAGGAGAGAACCGTTCCCTTCAGTTCGATCGTACGAGACGTTTTTATCTCGACACATCTTGACCGAGCTTTGTCCACCGATATCCAATTGTTCAACCTCCAAGGGTTGGAGGACTCTCAATCAGATGCTACGCTCTCAATCAGGCGAATATGTTGTTAAACGCGGATATTGTCGCGCCCCCAACCTATTCTATTGATGCCCTTTGGCCAACAACATACTGTACAGTAGTCGAACCCAGTGATCTATTGGCCCTGGAATACAGTAGTGTAGGCAGTCCGGGTTCTCGTCTCCCCCCAAATGGAAGTCGGGACGAAGCAAGGTCGGGGTATAGGCGTCCAGTTCCTTCCATCCATCCGTAGCGTTGCCCAGAAAGGCCTCTTCGAGAATGGCATTGTATTCCGGGAAGCGGCCCCACTGGTACTGGTGAGGTCCGCTCGCGACCAAGTCGATGGCGGTATCAACATCAACGGGCCCGTCAAACGTCCTGTGGCGGAGGTCGAGCGGCGACGGTGAGGGGAAACGAAACGCGACAAGATCGGTGATCACTTCTGAGAACCTTCATGGTGCAGGTGCAGCAGCTTGCCTCCCCGGATACGTCTTGGACGTTGCGCATGGGTTTGTCGAGCGAATTTTTTCTCCAGCACAACCGGTACCATAGATGGATGGACACTCGTACTACCGCGATGCATGTAGCCTTGAGAGGTGTAGAAATGACTTTTTCCAACGCAGTCCTACACCAGTGCGACCGAGGAGTCGTCCCGTACCCTTGGGTCACCTGCATCCTCACTCTCTCATTCGTCTAGCCTCGCACACTGACCTTTCGGTGCATGTTACGCCGTGCCCTGGTGGGGTGTTTCTCACGATGAGAAGAGCATCATCTCCGTGGAGACGTTTCATGGACGCCGTTATCTCTTTGCTTGCGGTCTCCATCGCCTCTCGGTACTCGTCCAAGGATCTAGGGTGTGCCCCGCTGTTGATAATCAGCGTGTCGTACTCCTTAAGGGTGTCGTCGTCCGCGAACACATCGCACTGCGCGTTCCGTTTAGGGTTTCTTGAGTCACAGAACCCGTCCCAAAACGCGCTCCGCCTCGTGGTGGTGTCAAGGAAGTCGTTTCGATAAAACGAAATGTTGACCTCCCCGTTGCATGCCCCCCACTTGAGGGCGTGAAAGGTGGTACTTGGAGTGGACCTGTTCTGACATCGCACGCAAGAAACAACATATTCGCCTGATTGAGAGCGTAGCATCTGATTGAGAGCGA